GGGGGGGGGGGAAACAGCGCCTTTGGGCTCGTCTAGTGGAGACACGGGGCGTCCCGGGAAACTAGTGCGATCCAAAGGCACACGCCACCCCTTCCCCCACCAGGTGTTCGCTCCGGGCCAGACCTGGGCTGTGTCCTCTTTTCCTCATCCCTCTCGGGCTCTGGGTCCCCGACCTACCCTTGGAGCAAGTCTCTGCTGGCTCTTCCAAAGCGCTGGCCCACCGGGTGGGTGTTTGTGTGGAGAGCTTGGGGAAGTCCGCAACACCTAGCTGGGCATGTATATCTGCCGGGAGGCCGCCCAGCTGCCCTTACCTGAGTATCCTGGGGTGCTAGATTCTTTCCCCACTTTTTGTGAGCAGAGCCTCGGGGCTCCAAGCCCAGGCGATGGGACCTCGCAGCCACCCACCGTCTTATACCATGGCCTCCCAGGCACCAGCTCCCCAGGGGTGAAGGACTGGAAGGGGAGCGAATAAAGCTCTGTTCATCGGGTCTTGGAGGCTCCTGATGATACCAAGTCTGGTGTCTACACCCTGGCCCAGGCCTTCGGGTCTCTTGGCCCCCAGGCTCTGCCTGTGGGGTGCCCTCTGGAGCCAGGCCCTGGGATGGGCTCGTTGGTTGCCGGCCCACCACTGGATCCGCTTCCGCCTTCTCCATGATGGGAGGAAGCTCAGGCTTCGGGTGGCTTGCTCCAGGCCACACAGCTAGACAGTGGCAGATTGGGACTGACGGGCCCTCGGCTCAAACCCACAGTCTCCCCAGCTGGCTTTTGAGGGGCATGGCTGGAGGAGCTCTGCTGTTGGGATCCCCTGGCGGGGCTTCTGTGCCCGGGCGTTTCCTCTTGGCCCTCCCAAGGAATGGATCCGTGCCCTTGCGGACAGAGTTTTCCTGGCGTTCCAGGGGCGGGAGCAGTGGAAGCGTCTTTCTCAGGGGCCTGGTCACACCTCATCCCCCGGCTCCCTTCTGGGAGCCCAGAGGTCAGGGGTCACGGAACTGTGGGCTGGCTCGGGGAGGCAGTTTCGAGGACGGAGCCTGGCTCCAGAGCTGCATGGAGCTCTGCTTGCCTGGTTTGTCTTTTTCCCCCTCTTTGGTTCCCGGTCAGACGTCCACAGCGTTCGTTGCTCTCTCTGGGCTAATTGTTACCAGTGTGTTCTGGGATCTTCCACACCTGAGGCAAGAGCACAAACTGCTGGGTCGAGTGGTTATCAGCTGGGCCTGGGCTTAATGATGGGTTGTCACCCTCCTTCCCTGCCTTCCCCCAGTCGGCCTGTAGTTCCTCGCACCCATCCCACCTGGGCCCTGCCCTCCTCTCCCTGGCTAGCCTCCTGGTTCTGGGAGCGGGAGGAACTGGGCCGGCAGCCCCACTTAAAGGTGCCTTTTCCCTGTCTGGTTGGGCCGAGGCTGGCTGCTGTGGCACAGACTGGGGCTCAGGGCTGGGTACTGAGGCCGGGGGTGGCTCCCTCTGGTCACATGGCTGGAATGGGGCCAGCGACTGGTGGGGGCTGGCCATGGTGGAGGAGGGCAGTGGCTCTGAGCTGCCTCTGGAGCTAGAGGAGAAGGTGCTCAAAGGCTGCCTTTCCGTGCGGACTTCGGGGCACACAGACCTGGGGCGCCAGAGGAGGCCAAACTAGCAAGTACAACAAGTAAGGGGACCCTTGGGACAGTTTTATTTCACTAGGGTGTCGACTGCCTGCTAGGGGTGGGGGTGGGGGAACAGCCTTGAATAACAGATCCGGTGGGGGGGACAGTGGAGAATTTCAAATTGGGTGGTCAGGCACGGCTTGTGGGAGAGCTGAGCCCTGAATAAGAAGAAATCGGCCTGGTGAGGGAAGCTGGGGCAGGGGAGGAGCGAATGTTCTGGGCAGAGGGGACAGCACATTGAAAGCCTTTATTGAGCATGTGCCAGCCTCCTGCTAAGTACTCTAAATATCTTGTCCTCGTGAGGGAAGGAGTGAGGGGGGTGACCCCAGTGTGGAAATGAAGACCCTTAGTGCCATAGTGCCATTTACAGAAAAGCACCCGGGTCGCAGGGTCTCCTGGATCTCCCCGCTGCCCCCAGATGAAAGTCCAGACCCCTTGGCCTGCCTCCAGGCCTTTTAAAGTCTGGCCAGCCAGTGGGGAGCTCCAGCGAGCAAGGCTGTGAGGACAGCTGAGTTTTTGTCAGTCTTGCAGGATCTGTCGTTGGGGTCAGCCTGCAGGCGCGGGTTTGAAGAGGGTTGGGGGTTGGTCCAGCCAGGTTGACTCGGGAGTTCATCAGTGTCGGTGCCAGAGCAGGTTGATGGAGAAGGGAGCCTGTGTTTGAGGCGATGACGAGCCCCCCTGGGCTTGAAGACGAGGCGGCGCTGCTTGAACAGCCTGTGCTCCCTTTTGGGGTCCTCCCGGCTCCTCATCACCCCGATCCCTTTCCTCCTTCCCCAGGCCCTCGGCGCCCATTGTGCCTAGCAGGGGTGTGCGGGGGAGGCCCGTCTCCCTGCCTCTGCTCTCTGGGTCCCCCCTGGAGAGCCCTCTGAGCTGCAGTGAAGTGAATCCGGTCTGGTGGCTGGCTGTTAGAGGTTGTGCCCAGTGCCCGCCTGTGGTCATCGTCCCATCTCTCCTGTGCCGCCTCCTTTGGTGAAGGTCTCAGCATCCTTCGAGACCCAAGGGCCCTCTGTGAGGACTGTGACTCTTTTCTGAATTAGGCAGAGGGTGGCTGAAGGTGAGCAACCACGGTCTAGTGGAGAGTCTGATTCCATCAGCGCCATCTTCCTCGGCCATGAGACCCTGGGCAAAGGTTGCGACCTCGGGCACCTCCTGTGTCCTCCTCTGATGAGTGGGGACAAGCAGGCATGCCTGTGCAGCAGTGGTTCTCAGTGAGGAATGATTCTGCCTCCTCTTAAGGGGTGTTTGGGAAATGTCTGTCTGGAGACGTGTTTGGTGGTCACAGCTGGGGCTGGTACTGGCCTCTAGTGAGCGTAGAGGTCCGGGATGCTGCTCAACGTCGTACGTAATGTATAGGATGGTCCGTCTGTCCCCCCCCCGCCAAAGAGTGATCTGGTCCCAGTGGCCACAAGGTCGGGGTATCCTCGCTGTGTTGTTACCATGAGGAGCACAGAGATTGGTGTCTGGGGTGTTTGATGATGCTGGGAAGGCACTGGGGCAGGGAGGGAGCCCTCAGCAAGTACCGCTCGATTAATCATGAAATGGCATAAGGTTCTGGGGGTGTAGGATGTGGCCGCTGCTGTCAGAGACCTTACAGCCCTGCGAGGGGCTTAGGGGTTAGGAGGAACAGAGGGGACGTGGCTAATAACAGCTGGTGTTACCGGGTCCCGGACTCAGGGTAAGCACCAGTCTGTCTGCATTGCTTGCTGATTCAGTCCTTGGAATGGCCGCAGGAGGTGGCTGCTGCTGTTAGCCCCTTTTCGAGTTGGGAAGACTGATGTCAGGCTGTCAGCGCCGCTACAGGGAGATGTTTT